TTGATATATTGATGGGTCTTCTACATGAGATACAAGTCAAGCTTCCACTTCATGCAGTAAATGTACAGGTAATTAAGAATACATGAACAAATAGTAGTAACAAGTTCTTTAACTTGAATTCAATTCAAAACAAAATAAAATATACAGTTAACAGAAATACTAATGAATATTTGTAAAGAAATTAATTTTGTTTTTTAGAAGACTTGCATGGATTGACATCACTTCAAATTTTTCACTGTCAATATAAAACCAATTTTCTTGATCCTAAAAAGAGATTGAAATTAGTATTAGAATCAAAGATTGAAGTCATGATAACAAGGTAATAACATTTTGAAAAACTTTGAACAACAAATACTGACCAAGGTGGGAACAAGTCGTCATAATTAAATAAAGATTTAATTAATATTCACGTTCCAGAAATTAACTATACTGTATTAATCTTAATTGATTTATTTTGTCCATTTTTTTTTATTTATACTCAATGAAAACAACACATCTTTTTACTACACTTATCTAATTATTGACAGATCTTAGAGAGCATATTACTAACATCTGGTTCTCATTATCAGTAGTATAAATGTCTTCGTTCTGTTTAATTTCAGCCAAATTTTTCCCCATATCCTTAAAATTGCATTTCCTAGTTACAACACCAACATCAAACTTGGTTGACATTTCAAAGTGATGAATATTGTTTCAGTTATTTTAACCAGAAGAAAACGATGGAGTTAACAACAATGAGGACAGACAACAATACTGGCAAGGTAAAAATGTGGTTGTCTTGTGTAAACAAAAAACAAATATCAAATTGGTTTGACTTCAGCCAAATAGTAATCAGTGCACTTATGTACCAGATTTCATTGAAATCTAACGAGTGATCTATCAAAAATTCTAGCAGTGGTGAAAAGTCTTTGAAATGTTTATCAAGTGACAGCAATCAGCTACTCTGTAGTGGAGCAGTCTTGGGATACATACACACCAGATATATTCCATTGTGACACCACCAAGTCGGCATTCCATTGCCAGCAAGCTCAGCGCATGTGACTGGCGCCCTGTGCTTGTTGAGGTACGCTACACTGTTAAAGAGATGCTTTCAACTCCTTTCAGTTGACGTGTGTCTGGTATCGGTACTGCCTCACTGATGGCGTCTGCTACTTACCATCATCATAATATTGACAAGGCTATAATAATTTAATTTATGTAAATATGACTCACCTTGTCAATTATTGGCGTTAGTTTGAACTCTCCTACACTCATTTTAGTCCTTTCTATTCTTTCTTCTGTATCTTTATTATTTTTATCTTTCATTCGAGCCCAGCTTTAAGAAAATGTAAAACACATATTGATGGTAATGAACATAAATGCAATTCTAAGCAAAATACTAAAATACAAACAGGTGTCTACCCATGAGCCTTTGCGTTCTTAGTGTGTGTTGTTATCATCGCTTGGGACTCAATTCCAGTGCGTGCGCAGGTGACAACCCTCTCGCTTTAACATTGGTTGAATGTATTAATAGATACTGTTGGCATCTAGCAACCACGACCACACCCATAGCAACCAGCTCAAAACCTGATATTTTCTTAAACTTGTTTAACATATATAGCTCAAACTTGATATGTTCATCCATATTTTTAATACTGTATCATCGTTTCCTTGGCAACCAGACACATCAATAGCAACCACACAAAAAATAACATTTCCAGGAAGCTACAATGCTCAACCAATTGACCAATGAAAAAATAAGTTTAGACTCCTTTAAAATTACAACTCACAGGGGCTGTGTAATAGAATTACTTGTTGAAAGAACCATCTTTGCTGTGGATTTATAGATACATAATTGTAAATGGCTGTTTTATTTGAGAGACTAGTCTTCCTGTACAGGGGTCTTTTGTATACTTAAAGGGGCACTTCCAGTTAAGCCTAATCTCACAACAAATTTACTTTCTGGATTAAAATTACATTGGATAACAAAAGATAGATTAACTTTGTAAATAACATAAACAATAGTGTCCCATGATTCTTTGGTGCAATCCCTGGGCTTGGAAGGTTCCCCTTTAATATATCAAATGAATTAGTTAACATACCCTTCTTTAATGAAATCAGACCTACTCATCTCTTCAATTCCTAAATCCACTTTAATCTCTGATATACCCTGATCGTATAAGAACAAAAAAAAAGAGATAAAAAAAATCACCATATTAGTCCAGTCAGTTGCAAAAGTGCTTACACAAATAATAAAGGTGTGTTTAGGGTCAACGTTAGTCATATTCTTATGATCCAGTATACAGTAAACGCAACTTTTAGGTATGTATGAAAATAGAGCAAATACGGTATGTGAGAAATCATTGTCTCTGTTTTTCACATAATAATGTTACAGTAAAATACTTTATTTCACTTGGAACTAATTTTCGCTATAGGAATGAATCAGTGAAAATAAAATCCAGCGAATTTTTTCCCTATATTTTACATTCAACTCGCCAAAAATCAGTGAAAATAATTTCCATACGAAACACCAAAAAAGTATTTTCAGCGAAAATTAATTCCAGTTAAATTTACAGTACCATAAAACGTAGGTAAAGTCATGACTGAATATCTGACATTATAGTATACAGGGTGGTACAGCGGACTCTGGTATGTACAAATTATGATCCTATATGCATGTTCCAGTGTCAGTCTCTTGAAGGACTTTTCACAGAAGTCCCCCCCCCCCCCCCACGATTTTATATACCGGTAAGGTAATGGCTGTTGTACCTTTGTGCAGGAAACACATTTCATTACAGTTGCTTAATTATTGACAGGCCAAAGTTATACAAAATGGTGACCATATTGTCTATAAGCAACAAATAGTTACGTTTCCTATAAATTATTATTATTTGAATTGACAACCCTTTTATACCTGTAACAATGGATCAGTGTTTGTTGTTGAAGCAGTAAATTCTACACTTGATATTTTCATCTCATTCCATATTCCACATTCTTCATTGTTGATTTGGGAGTAGTCAATAACTTCTGAAGACATTGTAGGGGAAAATGTGGAAAAAACAAACAAAAAAAAACAATTAGATATATGACTGCAAGCAGTGATTAGCTAATCAGTCAATTGTTGATGTAAAAATTATTGGTGTGTATTTATGAATTTATTATTTCTGTTTTAATAATGATGATATGCAGACTGTAGTATCATATGGTATTCAAATTCCCCCCCCCCCCCCGAGTATGGCTGACAAATATTTGATTGAATTCTGAAATAGGTGCGTGCATTCATTCATGCACAGGTTCATCATGAATTTATTAACGTGGGATGTGTGCCAGATAATCACAAAGGTGTCCACACAAAAAATATTCAGCAGGTCATGATCACAAAGTTTTTACCTTCAGTCTTTCTCCACCATCCAAATAACCATGACCAGATGGATGGCTTCTTTGGAATAGCAGTGACACATTTATTACATCCAGTACATGGCACTGTACTACTGAAATCACTTCTTATGAATTGTGGCCAGCCCTGTAATGAAAAAGATCCTTTCAAGATATTCAGCAAAATATGGAGATATACCTTTGAGCGCAGAGTATACTTTCGCCACCATGCAAAAAATAATATGTTATGTTTTTTATAGATTTTTATAAAAAAATTTGAGACCTGTAGCGAATTATTATATCTATTTAGTTCAAAATTATTAAAAATATTATGGGTAAAATGTTGCACTAAACTTTTGGTTGGTGCTCAAAGGGTTACCAGGTTATGATACATTTTTCATTGATTGAATACTGTAGAATACTTTATTTTCACTTGGAATTAATTTTCGCTATTTTCACTGAAAGAATGATTCAGTGAAAATAAAATCAAGCGAATATAACTTTTTCCTATATTTTACATTTAACTCGACAAAAATCAGTAAAAATAAATTTCATACGAAACACCAAAATGTCCATTCATCAAAAATTAATTCCAGCTAAAATAAAGTATAAATACAATATTTGGAAAGTTTGTCGTGCAATTATGATGAGTTCAACACAATGAACGCACCACGAATATAGTGTATAATAAAAGACTGATAAAGTGTGAACTTTATTAGCAAGCAATATGACTTAGTACAATATTATTGACAAGAATGTGAAAAATGATGAATTTTATAGTTCTACGTCATTCTTGTGATCACAATCAGCACTAAATAAAGCTGCAAATGATGGCTGAGCTACAATCAAATCACTGTTTTTGGATATTGTGGGTGTTTTTCCTACATATTTATGACCATCAGCCTGCATTTCTGAGAAATCAATGAACAACCAACACACCCACTCACTCACAGTAACTGGTAAGTCCTTAGTACAAAATGTACATGCTATTTTGCAAATGTTCTAATAAAAAGATTGTCTATGGTTTTAATAGTAATTAATTCCCATTACTAACTTGCATTGTCTTTATTATATATGAAATTCTCTGTTTCAAAGGTCCAAAATACCAGTACCTGTGAAGAAAAATATATTTACATATTTTTCAATCTATAAAAATGATTTCTGTAATAAGTAAGTTTCTCACAGATTTATAGTTTTAACCAAGTGGTCTTTCTAATCTATCTGGTCCATCATACAATTGAAATCAAGTATAAAACAAAATATTCATATTAGTATTAATCAATAGTATGTAACCTGTCAATCTGTTTTTTTTGGAGAAAAAACGGTAAAATAATATGCAAAACACATTTCTTCCATAAAACCTCACTGAAAATATTGTCAATTTTTAACGCTTCGACATCAAAAAGTACCTTGTCAGACACTAGATATCTTTTTTTTCACCACATTACACCAAGTGAGAATGTATATGATATAATAAACTTCTGTTTCAAATATCAAAAGTTGTGCCAAAAATAAATAATCAAAGAAAGCTTAGAAAGAACTCCCATGTGCTGAAGGAATAGAAATCATGATGTAATATTCGAGAATATTTGAAAATGATAAACAAATTATGAATAATCTATTAAATAAGGAGCCACCAGTAGTCATCTACACACATGGACATCATATACCTACAATAAGCCTACTTAAAAATATGCATAAAAAGTCTACACAAAATTGAAACATTAAAAAGAAAACTGAAATAATTCATAAAACACTGGGAAAATGAAATGCAACGAAAATAGTAAACAAATAAATGCCCAAAATAAACTTATAGGGCATTTAAAAATATTTTAGAAATTTAGTTAACATGGAAAACGTAAAGTAGCAAGAACAACTATGTAAATTTCTGACAAACAATCACAATCTAAATATCTAAAATTCAAACCACTATCTTAATATCAATATGTGTGTCAATAAATATTATATTTACTTATTTTCAGTTACGTATATTAATAAGGAAGGCATCACAATCTTTAGAGTCCCTTTGATTGGCTCGTATATCCCGAAAATCGACATGGTAAAATTACAACCATCGTACAGCTCAGTACCATAACAAATAATAATTTATGGCAGACTTCTCGGTACATAAAATTCAAAGCAATCCCCAACGCGTCTCATTTGTTACTGCGTATAAATTGACACTATCTGGGGCACGTCGCACGCGATGAGTACCAACCAAAGATACACACAGGACATTTTAAGTGGCTCGAAACAAAACCTATTTGCTAATTTTCGTTTCGAAAACATCTACGACGGCTTAAAACCAGGCAGGAGACGCCGGTCAGCGTGGCATTGCCCCAGTAGTTTCCACTGTGCATCCAGTAGTTAATGCCGACATCACGGTCTATACATTCCACATGAAGCATGGTATTCAGCTTAACCATATTTTCTTTTTTGCTCCATGGCTTAACTTAATAGGAACAGTAACTCGAGCAATAAATGTGCTTTCCGATTTGAGGGATATCGTGTCGTGTAATATTCAATGAAAAAAATAGTGAAACAAAAGGCCCAAGCTGGGGGCCCACATAAGGTGTTGCAATAGTGTAAATATAACAAAGCCAGACACTGATCGTTTCCTTTGCTAGGTAAAATCAATGTACAGAATACTCGGATGAAACAACTAAAGTAAACTAGGATATATTAGAGCCAATGAATTCGTAATTTCCGACGAAAAGGGCCGGGAAAAAATACCCCTCATAACAAATCACCATCGTAACAAATCACCGTGTTGAGGGGGCGGTGAACAAATGAGACATCGATTGTCAAATTGTTTTGGTAATCATCGCATGTCGATTCATTTCATTTGTACAGGGTATAAGGTAAACCAGCCTACTTATTTCCCACACGAAGAACGTTCTCAGGAATAATCCGACATGCTGATCAGCACACCAACAATCGGCACCAAAATTGATCACAGCTGTCATGGTAAATTCAGTATGTTTTACGAGTTTTTTCTCTCCAAATCCCAACATATATTTACACATGTAGGCGAATTTTGTCAGCTCTGTGTAAATAGATATTTTTACTGGGAATGTGCCCCATTTTACGTACGAGAAGCCCTTGCACAACGCAGTAGTCATCAACACACATTAACATCCCATACCTACTAATCGACTTGATAGCTTCGTAATTTGGGGAGGGTGGGGGTGAAAATGCACCATGCAAGTTTCCAAATGTGTAAAGGAAAATAAAGGAAAGAAGTACAATACAATGTTGGTAAGCGATACAAAGGAAATATCTCCTTACGGCAGCGACTCGATACAACTACATTGATGCTGGAGGTCACCATATTTGTTCTCGCGTTCAATAATGCGGTGCAATCTGATTAAAATCTGATGTAGTGTACGAGCTTTAATTATTTTGGCTATAAACTTATTTTAATTTTATTATACTTTAATTAATAATTCAAAAGTATAGGGAGCAAAATTTTCATAAAATTCAATAAAAATTCTGTAGACTTTTCATACAATGTTAAAAAAATTCAATTTCAGTTTAAATTTTTAAAAAGTCAACATTCTGAAAACGAAACTCACCCCAATTTTAATTAATAACCAAAAGCTTTTGGCAGTCACACTGTGATTAGTTCACTTTTTTATCAACCAAAATGTGAATTTTTTTATTTCATCTAAGGGTGCAAACAACTTGTTTGGACCAACCAGTCACTAACTGTATTCGTAGAAGATGTAAACCCAGTACAGTCATAGTAGAGAAGTACTGTATACACTCACTTGGTACTTTTTTCTTGTGAATCTTTATACAGTCCCCATTGAACTCCAGTCATGGCATAGACTGTCTTGCCTTCCTCCCCCTGGAATTACAAAATCAGGTATATTAGGTGGAGCAACAAGGTATTCTGGCCAAGAAAAGGAAGAGGAATCAGGGAGATTGATAGTGAGATGGGATTACATGTACATTAGATGATTCATTTTACAGTGGTACAAAATGTATTCACAAAATACAATAAATGCATTCACATCAAGTGAGAGGTCAAAGCCAGTGGTCGTCTTGTCATTTTGTATTCAATATATGGCTGTAGTGTGACATATACATGCGTAGGATGCTTTGTTTGTGTACAGGAGATTCGCACTCAGAACAACGCTCCTCGTCCTGAAATAGTGAACAAAACTGAAATAAAATGCTGTGTTACATATTAGTAGTTGTGTAATAAAAGAATTGCGACATTAATAATGTCAACTTGAATTCCTGATATAGTACTGTAAAATCTGTATTAGAAACCGCGGCTTCTATTAAAATGGTACAATGCAATAGAGGGGATGAGGCTTCTATTAGAGCATCTACACGTATGAGAAATGACGAATTTTTGGTTCTCAATTATTCAAAAAGAATGGGTGCGACTTCTATTAGGGATGCGGCTTCTAATACAGATTTTACGGTATGTATGTTTACAGTATAGGCAGGCTAGGATTTGGTTCCAGAACAGCAGTAATGAATATAAAATAGCCACTTGTCGGCCATTTGATTTGGATCCACAAAATCGCATAATTTCCATCAAGATCCCATGTATTCTTTTTCATCATTCATGTACCATCAAATCAAAAATTCAAAAAGTACAATACACATTATTGTAAATCTAAAATGCCATCAATCATTAACATGACAGTGAATGGAAATGGAACACAAAACGATAAAATATACAATTATTACCTCTATTTTCATGACATTCATTGGTTTTGACCATCCTTGAATAATGGAAAGTGCAGCTCCTCCCATCCACCTATAGTCACACCATGCACATATTATTATTATAAACATTTAAAAGTCTTGCACATTGTCTACTGTAGACACATAGTTACTGTATAATACATACAATTATCATATACATGTACATCAGTAAATACAGGACTATGTACTGTAAAATACTTTATTTTTGCAAAGACTATAGTCTTTGATTTTTGCTATTTGCACTGAGGGAAAATAAAATCCAGCGAATATACCTTTTTCGCATATTTTACATTCAACTTGCCTAAAATCAGTGAAAATATATACAAATACAAAACACTCAAAGAGTCGTAAAATTAATTCCAGCTAAAATAAAGTATTTTACAGTACTTGAGTTATGAGTGCTGAATTCATATTAATTGGATCACAATGTACTGTGGAATACTTTATTTTCGCTGGAATTAATTTTTGCTGAAAAGGCTTTTTGGGCCTTTTGTATGGAACTTATTTTCACTGATTTTTGATGAATTTAATGTGAAATATAGGAAAAAAAGTATATTCGCTGGATTTTATTTTCACGGAATCATCCATTCAGCGAAAATAGCGAAAATAAATTCCAAGCGAAAATAAAGTATTCTACAGTACTCAGGTTGTATGTGCCAAATTTATACACATTATACATTTGGTCATGAGGTACTGGTGATACTGAAGATGAATTCAAATAATTTACATAAATTATGTTATGAACAAAACACTGGAAAAATAGACGTCTCCAGTTTGGGAAAACGTTTGCAATGGGAAATCATTTTTATTTGTGGATAGTTGAATCTTTACTCACCTAACATCAGATTCAGCATTGACATATAAAGTTTTT